AAAAAAAAGTTTAAAACAAGTTATGTGATGATGCTTAACCATGTTTCTTTTCCTAAACCCAGCCTAGGTAGGTTTATGTTAAATATGTAATGTGATGATGCAAAACCATGTTTCTTTACCTAAACCTAACCTACAAAACTTTACTTTATCCTAACCTATGAAACTTTACTTAAACCTAATTTACATAGCTTTACATAAAATACGTAACGTGACAACGCCCAACCATGTTTCTTTTCCCAAACTTAGCATACGTAACTTTACTTGCCTAAAGCTAACCTACATAACTTTACATTAAGAACGTAACGTGACTACACTTAACCATGTGTCTTTTCCTAAACCTAACATACATAACTTTACTTTGGTTAACCTAACCTACGTAACTGTACGTTAAGAACGTAATGTGACAACACCCAACTATGTTTCTTTTCCAAAACCTAACCTACGTAACTTTACTTGCTTAAACCTAACCTACATAGCTTTACATAAAATACGTTATGTGACAACACCCGACCATGTTTTTTTTCCCTAAACCTAGCGTACCTAACTTTACTTGCCTAAACCTAACCTACATAACTTAATGTTAAATACGTAACATCATTCATGTGCTGCTAATTCGTTAGATATCATATGAACCATTTTATATGCATTTTTGTAAAAATGTTATACAAACCACTGTATGCAGGTATGATGCACTGTTTTGTGCAAGATACATTTGTGAAGGTTTAAAAAGTTGAGCTTGTATTGTCTAAGAATGGATAAATAACCCAACAGAAGTATGGAAAAAAACACTTACAGTGGGTCAAAACAACCCATCAGTACTGGGTAAAGTTATGACATCATCAGGGTTACTTTCTCAGACATTATAAAGAAAAATAGTGGAGCGCCCCTTTAAGGTGCTTTGCATAAGTAGTACTCTGCATGATTTTAATATGTTCCATTCATCTGCAAATTACAAGGGCACACTTCTTTTTTTCTTTTTGTGTTTGTGGTGAAGTAGAGTTGAAGGTTATTTATAAGGACAGGAAGCCTAGCTCAGTGTTTTTATTTGTTCCTTTGTATAAAGAGCTCATGTAATTTCCATTCAGAAAATCTTTCCACTGTTTCTGTGATCTACACTATGCTTATTATCACAGGAAGTGACATCAGCTGCAGCTGCTTTATGGTATTCTGTAACATGTCTTTACCGTCAGTGACACTGTTTTTGTCTTCGTAGCAGTTTTGATACAGCCTCCCAAAAGAAGTAAACGTGATGCCCCTTCTTTCTGTTGGGCCCCATTTCTTCAACATTCATGAACAAACTCAACTGTGACTCTTTAGTCGCTCTGCTATCTGCCTTTTCTTGCAGGCTGACTCCCCCGACAACTGAAACCTACATCTCCCTCATTAAAGTTAGACATTTATAAACCCACGATGATTACAGTTTTTGAAACTGACATGAATCCTGCCTCTATTTATGGGTACTCTAGAAGCGTATGTGTGAAAGACAGATGGTGACACTGTGTTCTTTTGGCAGACATTAAGCACTGTGCTGCTTTGGGGCTACAACTAAACAGGATGAGTTTTCCTCACCTGGTCTGGATTTGTGCTTAAAACACTTCAAGTTTCAGATTACTTTAAATTCATCCAAAAGCTTATATCATACTGTACTTAAGGAACAGGCCTTTCACTGTAGATTGTTTGACTTTTGTGCAATGGTGGAAGAGGTCCTGACATCTTTTTATGGGTGAAGAGTAGCAATATCTCAGTGTAAATTTACTCATTCACTACCATAAATCATGAAGTTACGCCTAAACATATAATGGCAATACTTCATTTTAATAGTCTACCTACAGTTTATAGAGTATTTGTAACATTTCAGCTGCTTAGTAGTTGGGATTCAACAATACAACTCTTTTGCTTTATTATCTAGATGTTTAACAAATTATCTAAAGACAATTCATGAACATACCTTCATATTCTTAGATTTATTTAGTTTACTATACTCTACATACACACATCTACAGACTTGTTGGATCTCAACTAATAAGATGATGAAATGTTACAAATACTCTATAAAATATCTGCACTAAAATAAAGTATAACCAAATATACTTAAAAAAAAAGTACTTCAAGTACCGACATTTAAATGACTTATTATGCATAATGTGTCAGCCAAGATGGAGCTTCTGCTAGGCAGAATGATTAGTGACCATATTTTACACTTACTCACTCTTTACACACTTTTGCACAAAAATCTAAAAGCGCTACACACCCACAAGACACTTTTGTTTTTGCTTCCATTTTTCGCAGGTTTAAGTTATAGATCTAGAATAATAGATTTATTTCTCTCAAATTGTGGTTGCAAATTTGTTCACATTTGTGTGAGAGAGCACTTCTCCTTTTCCAGGATAATGACAGGTGTGGGATATTAAGATACTGATTAAACAGCATCAGTACTACACAGGTGTGCCTATGGGATTGTCACAATAAAAAGCCACTTTAAAACGTGCAGTTAGATCACACAACTAAATTACCCAGACGTCAGTATTTTTGAGGGAGCGAGCCATTGACATGCAGACTGCAGGAATGTCCACCAGAGCTGTTGACCATACTGAATCTTCATGTCACTACCATAAAACATCTGATGCCCCAATATTCAGATTTGTTCTAAATATATTTGTCAACACATCTGCCAGATTTGGTGCTTTTATCACAAAAATGAACAATTTTATAGCTATGCCGCCCCATTAAATGTCATTTCCATGAATTAGGCAGTAAAGGCCTCACAACCACACAAGCTGGTTACAACAGTGACCTGCTTTCAGGTGAGGACCCTGATGAGGACAATTAACATGCAGGTGAGCTTCCTTGAGGCAGTTTCTGATTTGTGCAGAAATTCTTCTGTTGTGCCAACCAATTAATGCTTCAGCTGTTTGGGTGGTTGATCTCAGACAATCTTACGGGTGAAGACGCTGGATGTGGAGGTCCTGAGCTGGTGCGACTAAATGTGGTCTGCAGTTGTGAGGCCTATTGGATGTACTGCCAAATTCACAGAAACAACATTGAAGATGTATTGTGTTAGTGAAATAAACATTCAGTTCAGGGGCAACAACACTAGTGGACATTCCTGCTACCTTAAAAGCTGCAGCATTATGTTGTGTGATCAAACTGCACATTTTAGAGTGGCCTTTTATTATGACCTTCCCAAGGCACACTTGTGTAGTACTGATGCTGTTGAATCAGCATCTTGATTATGCTACTAACTGCTCACTAACACAGATTTTAACAAATTTGAGACCTCAGAACTAATTGGAATGTAACTATTATTAATTTTATCGATTATACCTGTTTTTTTTCTCTCTTGACAGACCCTCAAGCATATGGGACTGAACTGTGTGTAACCTCAATACCACAAGTATTCTCTGTTTATATGGGTCTGTCAAATGGTAGTGCTGAACAACAGCTCCCTCTGCAGGACAAAATGTGGAAGCACCACCACAAAACAAACCAATGCATTGATGACATCTAGTGTAAGACAGAGGTATTACATTAGGCATGTTTTAATTCATCCAGGCTATTGTTTTTAGGGTTTTGGAGGGTATGTATATTTTAACTGTCTTTATTAGCAGCAAGAGTGTTGTTTATAGACATGGTGACTTGTGCAAAGAAAACACAGGAAACTTTAATTGTGCATAACCTTTATTTGTTACTATAGTTTTTCTATAGCATTTAGCACACCTTTGGTGGTAGAAGAGCACAAACAAAACAAGCTGACTTATCTATTTGAAAAAATATAAAGACATCTTTATTGCGAGTACTACTTTGCAAATAATACTGAGCAGCGCAGCATCTGAAAATGAAGGCATACATAAAGCAGTAATGCAGCGTGGACACAATCATTGTTAAAATGTGACGAGTAAAGAAGAACATTCAAATTACATTAGCAACATAAAGAGAGCCTACACTGGCCCTGAATATGTGTGTTACAATGTGGAAGGCGTGTCCAGTGTTAACATAAAATATAAAGATGAACAATACATGAAGCTACAATATTCTTTCATACATATACTGTGGATATTAACACATGCATACTTGTGCAGGAGGAGCGTGGTGTCTAAATTAAACAATGATTATTTAATGAACAAAGCATCACGCTTGTTCTCACCATATACCATCTTGGCAATGTCTGTAATTTCAAATTCATCACTCTCACTATGAGGCTGCAGAGCTGAAACCTCCACATCTATAAACAGACTTTGCAAACTAACACAGTCACACATCTGCATGTGTTTTAATGCGGTAGAGCAGATAGCACCAAAGCACTGACTGAAACATGGTGCACTGACATTGGAATCTTTTCCCAAAAATCATCCCATTCATGTTGAGTATTTGTCTTATTGCTGTCTAAGGGGAGTAGAAAAGAGACTGTTGTTGAGCTGCTTTGCTGTAACCAGGTGAACCTCACATGGGGGTACAGTATACGGACGTCTCAGTTCTGTTCACAGGGTATTAGTGATTAGTATCGCTAGCAGTAAAGGCAGTGTTTGCGCAGTTATTCATTACTCTAACTGAATAGCCATGTCAGCCTCCTACATACCTGTCTAAATGTCTATAGGTGAGCAAACAGGTGAGATTGTAATGTAATCCAAATTAATCTGTGGCATGATAAATCCAATCCATTCTTGTAGTGTTTGAGGGAAGAGCTCCACTTTTAATGTCAGTGTGTATAATAAAATGTAATATAAATCTATAGGAAGCATCTGTTACTCTGTAACAAAAATACAAAAACCACCACAAAATTAAGATTTATTTGGATTTAAAGTGGAAATAGACAAGTTCTCTGCTTTAACTTATTATTATGAAGCAAATGCTGATTGCACAGTGTAGTGGCTTTAGAACAGTGGTTCCCAACTGGTGGGTCACGGTCCAAAAGTGGGTAGCGGGTCCATTCTGAATGGACTGCAGAATACTTGCTAACATGTCAAGTTTGTAAAAAACATAATTTATTTTTAAGTACAGTGAATTTCCAGTACAGAGCTGCATTTTTGAAGTGCCGTTTTCTGCTGTAGAGTGAGTGACTAATGAACAGTCACATGACAGAGACCGCAATCTAACTCGACAATATGGCCAAACACAAGTATGACGCTAAATACATTAAACTGCGTAGACCTTTAAGCAATGACTAAGGAGAAATCTGTGGCTGGACCAGTTGGGAAGCACTGCTTAGGAATAATGACACCATCACATGTATAAATGGTTCCCTATGAGTCTTGCTTTTACTATGCAATTCCGTCTGCCACCAGAGACGATCTTTGAGAAAAAAATAAAGGCATGATTTACAGGGGCACTGTAGTGAGGGAGGAAAGTGGGACTGATATCACAGGGCCCCAATCAGAGGGGGGCCCTCAAAAAGCCTGGATGAAAACTTTGGTTTTGTTTGCAAATTTTTATATCGAAGTAATTGCTGCCATAATTAAATTAAAATTAGCTGGAAAAATTGGTTCAAAGACTGAACTTGGTATAAAAAAGAATGGTTAGACCCATCTAACCTCTTAAAGGTGCAAAATGGTTTAGTCCGCTCCGCACTATTTGTCTCTAAACACAGCTAGAGCCAAGTAAGCGACTATTTTCTTTAACTGCCTGGAAAATGCAAGGCTGTGCGCTTGGCATTTCTCTTGTGCCTACTCTGTGACAACTTTCAAGGGCATGGAGTCAGGTTGCACCTGAGGTTGCTAAGCGATAATTAACCAGCACTGCATCATAGCCTACTTGCCAGAAATCCAGAGTACAGAGCTGATCTTCATCCAGGCATTGTTTTGTAAGAGTGTATTAGGCCAAAAATATTGACAGATGTAAAGCTTCTTCTCCACATTTATCACAGACTGATATTTATGGAAGAAGGGAAAGATATCTGCCAGCTGTGATTGGTTGTTCCCATCACATGTAGTTAAACTTTGTTTATTTATGGGCACAGTTTTCATGCCCTGAAAAATAGATGTTTGGGAGTGTGACATTGTGTATATCGAAAACAATAAATTTGAGGGTGCAAAAATGCAGTATGTGTATGGCAACTTAAGCTGCCAGAGCCACAACGTACACTGTCATGTCTCTCCCCAAGAAAAGGAAATCAGGGTTTCCAACTTGAGAAGAAAGAAAGGAAGGGGAAAGAAAGCAAACTGACTTAATTTAAAGATATTTAAAATTCAAAGGGTGCGTCAGAGAGACGTGGATTGAGAGAGGAAGGGCGGGGGCCCACAGAGACTGCTTATGCATGGGGCCCTGAATTTGGTGCTACGTCCATGTTGATTTATGGCACAGAGAAAGTGCATCAACTATTGCACGATTGTGTATCAGAGTATCAATCTAACTTCTTTGCAGTTACTTTCCTCAGTAGTGGAAATAACAGATGGTGAAACAACCAAAGTGGGAAACAAAGTGCAGTGTGTCCTGTGTGTAGGTGGGCTCTGAGGAAAACGGAACGTAATTTGTTTGTCTTTGTGACGGTAGCGGCATTCATAATACCACTTGGAAATGCTCGTGGGGGAGAAGTTAAAAAGTTGTCTGTTTCCACTTTAAGAATATAGTTCTTTATGTCGATCGGTCCCAATTAATCTTATTTACAAGGGAGACCTGATCAAGGCAACAGATTAAAAACCTCAACACTGTTCACTGCTGCATTTGTTTGCAATGTCTTACATTTGGCATTGTCATGACTTTTTTCTCCACTGTTAATACTAGTACTGTGGAACAGTGGTGTTTAAGGTACAGTACAGTGATGACAATGAAGTCTATTACATAAAAGCTTTTACATCTCAAAGGTATGTTTTTTTTTTTTTTAAAGAACAGCCTAATGCTAAATAAAATATTGATTTCATCCAGTCTTATTTATTCCCAGGAGTTTTCATGGCTTCTTCTCACTGCCTAAAAAATAAAAGTAAATAAAAGCATCCCATATAGAGTCAACCACCAACCATCAAACCACAGTGAGTCACAAATCACATTAAGAAAGGTCCGTTGAGTCGTTACCCTGCCAGTGTGAGAATTCATGGACTCAGAAGACCCACAGCCACCGGAAGTGACATCACCAGTGACAAAAACCACGGCGCCGATTTGAACATCACACTGATCGCAGAGCAGATTGGAAGAATCCCTGTAACAAAGAGAAATGTGAGTTTAGATATAGTTTCAGTTGGTGTTTGGAGGAAACCCCAGTTACAAGCTGAACTCTACTCACTGTGATGGACGGCCATGCTGTTCTCCTTCCACGAGTTGCCCTGGTAGACCCTGCAGGTGTAGGTGAAAGGCTTCTCATCAGCCAGCGGGGCCCAGGTGAGGCGGCACAGGTTAGGAGTGACCAGGCTGACGTTGCTTCTCCTGCGGTCCTCTACGGACACATAGATGACGGAGTTGGGGAAGGTGGTGCCCACCAGGCGGCTGTCCTGTCGATACTCACAGTAGGGGCCGGGGACCTGGTAGGTGGGCGGAAACTCACAGTCCACCCTGACGTTTCGCTCCAGGTAAGTCAGACACGGAAACATCTGAGGGCCGCGAGGGGCGAACAGAAACGTGGACACTGAGCTCACTGAAAGAGATGCAAACAGGATGCGAATCACACATTTTCTTTTTTAAAACATGAAATGAAGGCAGTGAAATACTGAGAAATCCTGGAGACTATTCTGCCGCAACCTGCAGAGAACTTAAACATAGGAGAAGACTTGTTTAACAGCAGCACAATGATCCCAAACATAGTAAAGAAATCTCCAGCAGCAATAACAGCCCTGGATCTTCTATGTGGATAGACCTGACATGGCCGTTTTTAAATAAAAAACATTTTATGTATGGAGCTACGCGCACAGCATGATTTTGCCAAGTAGAACATGCTCCTGGATCAACGTTCCAACGTTCCAGGACCAACATCGCAATCAACCAATCACAGCTTTCTGACATCATCAGTGTGCTGCTGCTGTGCTTCTTTCAAAATTTCTTTGTGCTCCTTCAGAGCTACGCTAGTTTTCCAAAAAGTTAATACAATTAAATGTTGGCTAGCTAGCTTGCTATGTAGGTATACTATGCAAACAATTAAGCTTGTCAATAGGCTAGAATGTTAGTGAGTTAGCTTGCTGAGTAGGTTGGCTATGCTAATGAGTAAACCTGCCAATAGATGAGAATATTGGCTAGCTAGCTTGATAAGTAGGTATGCTATGCTAACAAGTAAGCTTGTCAATAGGCTAGAATGTTAGTGAGTTAGCTTGCTAACTAGGTTGGCTATGCTAATAAGGAGGGTCCATGTCATTGGTTCGACAGCCCATTGGTTCGACATCCCATTAGTCCGACTGTCCGCGGTGCTGAACGGCTCGCGGCGGGCATATGGTGCGCCGCGACCGGCTTGAGGCGGAGCAGGCTCACGGCTTATGTGTTTGTCACTTTCTTTTTCATTTTAACCCACACCATGATCTTTTCCTGACCCTAACCAAGTGGTTTTTGTGCCTAAACCTAACCAGACCTTAACCACAGGGCGTCATGATGATTTTGGAACGAACTTCGGAACAATGAGTTTAATATGGGCGGAACAATGGGCTGTCGAACCAATGGGCAGTCCCCAATGAGGAAACCTGCCTATAGATGAGAATATTGGCTAGCTATCTTGATAAGTAGGTATGCTATAAAATAGGAAGCTTGTCAATAGGCTAGAATGTTAGTGAATTAGCTTGCTAACTAGGTTGGATATGCTAATGAGTAAACCTGCCAATAGATAAAAAAATATTGGCTAGCTAGCTTGCTAAGCAGGTATGCTATGCTATAAAATAATAAACTTGTCTGTAGGCTAGAATGTTGGTGAGTTAGCTTGCTAACTAAGTAGGTCATGCTATCAAGTATCTGTTCACTAACAAAGAGTAAGTTGCAAATTCCTGCATTTACCACATTTTCCCTCCTTTTTTTTTTGGTTAGATTTATTCAGGACCATTATCACGCTGATTCTGGATTATTTGTTTATGTCGACATCAATTTAACAGTGATGTCCTGGATCAATATAAGCAACTCTATCCAGGGTTAACGTGATGATGATGGTCCTGGTTCAACATGAGAACCGCAATCCTGCAAAAAAAAAAAAAAAGTTTTGAATAGGTTATTAAAGGTCTTCGCAACTGCAAAATGACATCATCCTTAATCTTAATGTAAATGAACAATGTCTGAGTCTTTTGGCAAGTTTACCTGTTAGTGTAGCCTACCTAGTTAGCAAGCTAATTGCTAACCCTGTAACTTAGAAGGTTTTTGTTCAATATTACTGAGGTTTTTTTTAATTGTACTAACTTCAATTTAGAAACTAGCTTAGCTCAGATGAAGCACAGAAGCAGCACACTGATGATGTCAGAGGGCTGTGATTGGTTGATTGCAATCTTGGTCCTGGAATGCGATGTGGGATGTTGATCCAGGAGCATGTCGAAAATAAAATTTGATGTTAAAAAGGGAAAGATTGGCACTTTAAAGATTCCACTGTAAAAATAAAACACAAAAATGTTTTTTTTAATTTTATTCTGTTTTTGTTTTTTTGCATTCCAATGTGCTTCTTTAATGAACATCTTTCTGACTTTTTCTTCATGTCCCTCTTTCTTCAGTGATAGTTTTTTTTCCCCCAAGCCACACTGAAAAAAGAGATTGGGAAAAAAGTGCCATCTTAAAAAACTGACCCTAAATAAAGAGTGACATAAAGAAAAAAAATCAATAGCTTGGCATTGAAAAAATGCAAAAAATATCAAAATAAAATTAAAAAAAAAAAACTGAAAAAAAGGAGATTGGGAAAAAAAAGTGCCACCTTTTTTAAAAATTACCCTAAATAAAGAGTGACATAAAGAAAAAAATCAATAGATTGGCATTGAAAAGAAATGCAAAAAAATAAAAATAAATAAATTAAAAATCATTATTGTCTGTGATTAATTTTACACTGGATTTCTTTCAATGCCAATATTTCCTTTTACAATGGCAAATTTTATTTTCAGTGCCCAGACTTAATGTCACTGTTTTAGTTTCATATAGTTCCCTTTCACTCCAGTTTAAAAGTTTAACTTGTCTTGGAAGTGACCACATCCCTCTGTAATAAAACCAGTATTTGTTAACCATGATGGATCTTTACTGATCACTGTGGTGAAACAGGGTAATGACACCTCTGCTGCAGTGTTACTGATTTTTTTTTCTGTTGTCATGGACAAATCTGGACATGATCCCGAATTGCCTCAGCCTACTTATCAACACAGACATTATATTACGTCTCAATTTGGCTACTAGAGCTGTTTTTGGCAACTGTTCATCTGCTTAAAGTAACCACCCACAGTAGGCCTGTATAGATCCAACTTTAAATGGATGAGTTGGCAACCAGCACCTCAAATTTACAGTCTTAAAATAAGCAAACACAAAGGAATAACACATACTGTGCTGAGTTTGATGCGTTACCGTGATCCCACCAAAGAGGAGGAAGGCCGTGGCGAACAGGTGCAGCATGATGATAGTTGTCTGATCAATAACCTTCACAGCACCCCTGACTGGAGTTCAACATGGGACAGAATGAGTAAGTTGCACATGCAGCCGCAGAAAACCACCACTGATTATTACAGACAGACACAAGATGCGTTCAATCTTCAGAGACAATGCACACATGCAACCCTAACTGCACCATATATCAGGCCACAGTACCGCAGTGAAAGCGGGCCTGGATGTGCTGCTCAGCCTGCAGCCCAAATGCAGATAGGACTACGCCCATGCAGTGTCTTAGCTCTGCAGCAAACCAACGGTCTCCCCTCACATGCGCATTTTTTTATCCCTACTGCAGGTGAAAGAGCCGGATAGCCATGGCGACATGCCTCTGATACACGCATCTGAAAATACTAGCTCTCCTACACTGACATATCTGATCCTTATTTTCTTCCCTTTAGATGAGACAGCCGGTCTTACCTGAGATGCGGCCCCTGTCCCAACGTTGAGCTGCGCCGGTGTGCCGGTATGCGGAGCAGCAGCAGCAGCAGCAGCAGCAGCAGCAGCGCTCCGTGTTGGACTGATACACTTATTGGTCTGTACGTAGTCTAACACGCACACATAGGCTCCACTCTGTCATCCTAAAGAGACCATATCCTCATTGCACAGAAGGGATCCAAGTGCAGGGGGATTAATTTTCCTTCAGTTTATCAGATAACAAAGCTGCAGCTCTGACCGCAGATTTTATGCCCATTACCCCCTCATGTGTGGCTCCAGCTGGACGAGGAGGGGGCGTCTTAATTTGGGGATCCCTGCGTTAAAAATTTGGCAACTGAACCTTTTATAGACTTATACATAATGGTAATGAACTTGCTTTTATATGCAACCACTCGTATTCAGATTACTGGTTTTGGGGTACCGTCATATTTTGGTGCAAAAAAAAAAAAAAAAAGAGTTCCCTCTGCAGGACAAAAACGGGAAGCACCACCACAGATATGACAAATACAGCAATCAATGTTTTAGTGACATCTAGTGTAAAAAGAGAGACGTGGGAGGACATGCAAACCTGCAACATCCCTGAGTGAGAGAAAACTAAATCTAAATTTGTTGACTCCAGGGTTTGTCTAATGAAAGTTAACATAATTGACCTGTACCTCTGCAGTACTTTCTCCACTGCAGTCTCGTGAAGGGCAAATGATCTCCCCCACTTTGTTTGTTGTTGTTTAGTCATTGCACATGTGGGCTACATTGCACTGTCGTTTATTTACTCTGCTATTTGCTCTGTAGCAGATATTTGTTCTCAAATGTGAATGATTTCCAGACACTAGTTCAGCATGGGACATCATGAAGAAGTTGCACATGCAGCCCCAAAATGCCATCATCTATTAGAGCTGAAGAACACAAGAAGCTTTCAGTCCACATAATAGAGACTGAGCATGGGGGATGGGGAGGTCCACTACGCAGACTGAAGCAGATGTGTTTACGTCAGAAATGTCTGAAATTGATAGCATAAAGTTCTAACAATGTATCAGCATTCTACTTTTTCAGTGTTTCTGTTTGCTGTAAATGAGGTGTGTGTGTAGGTGTAGTGGAAGAACAAGCCTTTGCAGGTTTAAACAAGGACAAACTGTGTGAAACAGTGCAGTTGCATGTGCACGAACGACATCAGACATGTAAATTATGATGTATAACAATGCAAACACACGTGTGTTAGTATAGTTGATCAATGATATCAGTTATCGCTTACCTCTGTAGACCACTCAGTCTGCAGTCTGGACTACCAAACTTTCCTGCAAAGTCTGCCAACAGCTGCATAATGCTTGACGACTGGTTCCTTCAAAATAAAGGCCTCTTTCACACTGGGAAAGCCTTCAGAAAATTGTGCAATCATACAATGTTTTTGTCAACCCTCACATGTTGAAAATAGCTTCCTTATAAATGCAGAAATTTGAACTTTGCTGGACAGATTCTTGATCGGGAAAATGGATTTTAAAAGTGACTTAATTGATATATTTGGTGCACCTCAAAGTCTAATGGTGGTACTGTTTACTAGTACCAGTAGTATAGCGTTCATCACTGAAGAAGAGTAGGTTATGGCTCTGTGTTTCATCTGCAGTGTATCAGCAGCATCCAGCAGAGCAGCAGGGATCACAGCTACAGAATCTCAAATGAATACTTTTGGCAAGGATCACTACACCTGCGCTCTGCTTTTGATTGTCAAAAGGGAGGAGAAGAAACAAATGTATATTTTGTTAAATGAATATTAAATAAAGCTCAGTTTAAAGTGGCACACATCCTCTGCTCTCATTGTTTGCTGTGGTTTGTGCCAGCCAGAGGGCTCTGCAACACTTCTGTCAGTGTCCTCGGAGACTGCTTCAGTATGGCAGTTGTTCAGCAACTGTCCAGGAAGGACCTTGAGAAAATGGATGAGCAGTGCGAAGAGGATACAGTGAGAGGATACAGAGGACACAGTGGGTCTGTGGCCTCAGTGGATTTGACACGGTGTTCTCAGTGTTTTTAGGCAACACAACCAGTGTTACATCATTTTACATATATGCATATTCTTTCATATTTAGATAAACATTTGCCATATTATATATCTATTCAACTATACCATGCTCACATGCCAGGCCTGCTAACCCACTGGAGTGACACCTGACTCTGTTAATCACTGCATTTTTTTTTATGGTTGATCACTGAGGCTCCTTAGTTGGCACCTCGCTGCCTAAAGGATCCTTATGTGTGCTATCCTGCTCAGAGCGCTGTGGTGGGTGGCTCTATCTTCTCTTCACTGAGGGCGTTTAAGTGGACATGAATAACCCATTTATGAGGCTTATCCAGGTTATGATCATATTCGGTTTCTCATAAACAGAATATGGTGTTTACAAGCTCAAACACATACGGAAAACTCCCAAAACCCGATCATAAACGTGCATAACCTGACATGCATAACCTGTTTATGATAGGGTTTTTGGAGTGTTGAGCTTGTAAACACATAATTCTGTTTATGAGAAACCTGAATATGCCAGCTGGAGTACTCTGAAAGAAACTGGGATGTATACAGGAAATATGAATAACCTGATTTTTGTGTCTTCATGTAAGCACCATATCCTGAAAATGATCATAACCTGGATAAGCTGCATAAACGGGTCATTCATGTCCATGTAATCACACTCACTGTTATAGGCTTTATGTGATAACAATTAATACTTCTGTGTCCTGCTGAGTTCAACTTCAGTTAGCCCACCAGATGAGGATTGATACAGATTCTCATTTACCAACACTGGCCATCCCCTGTTCAAATATTGGTCACTTCTGACTTCAAAAATCCAAGATGGTGATGACCATAATTACAAACTGGAGGCTTAAGAATGGGAGGCCACAAACCAGTGGGGGACATCATAGTATAGCTACGTCCATTATTTTTACAATTCATGGTTGGCATTGGCCTTGTGAACACGTTAGTATGCTGACATTGGCCTTTAGCACCACTGTGTGAAAATGACAGGCTTCCAAATTAGCGCTTTTCAAGTTATTTTAGATATGACACTAAAACACCTCAGATCTCTTCTTTATCACCCTGTTTCAGTTGCACACATCAAAACTGTGATTCACAGCCAAAATCTGGTAAGGAGAGGACAGACACAGCCATGTTACTCCACTGTGTCTCGGTTCCACCTGTCCCCTGTCCCAGTGTCTTTAATTGTTTTTAAATGTAGTGTGGATGTGCTACTACTACTACTACTCAGTTGTGGCGCTAACAGCCCTCTTAATAGCATAATTTTGTCCCTTTTAGTCCTTTAATATAATGCAGTTATGTAGATGATACACCTATACCCCTTTTCCACTCAAATTCGCACATGTACGTGGGTTTTTTAAACATGGGAAAACCCACATAAAATAGGCCATAGACTCCTTTCCCATTGTCAGTGGACTAGAGTTGCGTACACGGTTCTGCAGCAGACGAGCACCAGCGAGCATTTCTGTTTTTTTGTGTCATGTTCGATGTCACAGCTGGCTGGAAAACAGATTAGTAAACATTAAAGCAGCATGGAGGCCAGCAAAAATGTAATGGCAGTTACTTTTTGTTTTTAATCTCACATTAGTCAGTCACTCTTTCAAACTTGGTCAATGTTTGAGCGCTGCTTGAGTAGAGACGGACGGTATTTTGTGATAGCGCATTAATGTACTCACCTGGGTGTTGTATTTCCATCAATGCTGAATGGAACCGGAGCTGATAAACACCAGCTTATGCCTTTTCTGTATCAGTTCATGGTGTAAATGTCTTTAATTTTGTCAAAATAAAAGTCCTCTGCTACATTCATGTTCTTATTTGGGCTCAAATGCACATTTTGAATATTGAGGGGGGGTCTTGTCCCCTGTGTTCCCCCTGAAATCTACATCTAAGCACCTATTAGCAGACTCATATGCAGTATTATATCGTCCTGTGTGTTCTTTTGTTTTCCTTTGTGGTGTTTTTCCATTTTATGCAGGTGTTAATGTGGTATGGATCTTCAATACATTAGTTTAAATGGACTATCTGCACGTTTGTGTTTAATATGTATTTATTTTAATTTATGTCTGCAAAAGTAGCAGAGAAACTGCTGACACGTCTTGTACTCACATACTGAATGAGGAAATGTCGAACAGCTGCTGAGGTGTCTCAGCTAATCAAACGCTCATCACATCATTTTCAGTTTCCGTCCCATTCAGCACGGATCCAGTCCTTCAATATGAGGACAGGGGTTTGTGTATTGACATGTGATCCTCTGTCCTGTGGTAAAACAGGGAGTAGGAATCGATACAAATCCGGATACAATACTGAGAAATGTCCCCAAAGTCCACTGGAGCAGCATTTTCTCCCCCCTTCTGTCTCCCCACTCCCCTCCCTCTCTGTCCCACTCCCCTCCCTCTCTCCTCTGTTTCTTCTACAAGCCGACCTCTACTGTATCTACCCCTGGCATCACACTGCAGAGCACTGAGGAAAGCTCAAACTGCATCAGACAAGGTGAGAATGATTCACTGTTATTTGCTGGATCTGAGCTATGTTAAAATATTGAACTGTGTCATGATGCACACTGCTTCTCTTTTTGTCTGGATGGAATATTAGGCTGGAGTCAGCACTAAAGCAAATGACTGAAGGCGAGAGCAGGTCTGCATCAAGCAAGCAGGGCAGAGCTGAACTGCTTTATGTATTTTCTTAACATAACAAATGCAAATGCAAGCAGGTGAAGAATCAGTGCAGGCGCTGGAGAGAAATGTGTCATTGTTGGCAATTGACCAGTGAAGTTTGCAGCTCATCTGTTTGCACCAGTGAGGCTGTATTATGCTCAGTTATTCAGTAATATGGTACAGTGACTTTTCCACAGTCACCTCTGCAGAAGTGTGGTATTCGTGTCTGTGGAATCTGACCCTGCTCTTTACAGCACAGTCAGCATTATTCGATTTGAAATTCAATAATTCAAAGATATGACAGCAAATTAAAGAGTCCAGCTGTTTACTGGTGTGTAGTTACTGCCTGGTGTTAGTTTGCTGTGATTTATTTAATGTCTTTGAATCTTGCTTTGCAGGAAATCTGGGAGAATGTACTTCCTTGGCATAATTTTACTCTTCGGTAAGACATACATAATGTTAATAGAGGACAATCTTTTAATATTTGCATATTTTCTTGTGAATGATTTTCTAATCTGAATCAGTTTTTAATTGTTAAATATCTGATCATTTCTCTGTGTTGTGCTACACATAGGCTTTGCGTCAGCCCAGAAAGTGATTCAGTTGACCTACTGCTCAATAGATGAGGACAACCTCAGGATGGACTGCAAATATGCGGTTCCCGCTGAGTCGCCAGAACCATTTTGCAAGTACACAAACGGCGAAAGACTCTTTGACACCACCGACCCAGACGAGGAACAACACAGCCCCTTCAAGAAGCGCGCCAAAGTCCGCATCTTCCCGGGCAACATCTGTCGCCTGCTCTTTAAAAACCTGCCCAACGGCAAGTCCAACTTCACCTGCAACATCAGGCTTCCTGACTCGGCGACGGTTTCCAAAACCTCAGTGGTTGAGAAAAGTAAGCTGTTTACCACAGCTGTGCACATCCTGTTATTTCACCAAAAAACAACAGAAAACATCTGAGTGACTGCCAAACAAAATGCTCCTCCTTCTGAACCTGCATTATTTTTTCTTACTGCAGAG